AAAAAAAAACCGTTCTTGTGTGGTTACCGAACAAAGGCGCGAGGTAATTAAAATAATCGTTTATGCATGGAGAGCGCTTTTCTTGTCCGTGCGGGTATACGTTACACCGCGCTAGCCACGGTACTTACTAGTGTCAAATGATCAAAATCGATCATAAATACTGTAACAATGACATAAAAATTTTAAAACCTTGAACTTCTGTGTTTCCTGTTCCAAGACTTGCCATTCTTCTTCCCATTCTTGAAGGCTTGAAATCTCGGCAATGGCCGCCATTATGGACTTGCAGCCACTGCATTCTCGCCCCAGTTTTTCCTTCGCCAAACGACGTTGCGTGATGTAAAAAATATCCGACGTGACTTACGTGACGGTTCCAAACATTTATAAAAGTAAATTTAATTGACAAGTTGTATACACATTCAATCGAAAATCTTTGTTCTTTAATTTACTTATTTAGTACTTTTCATTTAATATTTCTCTATTTCTTTTTATGCTCAACTGATTTAATTTTTATTTTATTTTTTTATTAGTTTCTTATCTAATATTTCTTTATTTCTTTAATATTTGATATTTTTAATTTGTATTAAGTAAGTACTGCAATTAAAATATTTCAGACCCTGTTTAGAGATTATCTAGTGTCCTTCCCGCTATACAAGTAGCCACATTGGAATGAAGAAATTTCATGCTGTGTTTAGTTGTATTTTATTGATTGGGATCAACCACTAGACCCAGGCCACTAGATTAGCCCTTGCTAGCCATATGAATGATTTCAACTAGCCACAACTCATTCCCTATTTAGACGGTGTTCCCTTTATTCTTTATTTGTAATGCATTTCTTTGTCTGTGCTAATTTCGATTCTTATCTATGGCCTCTGTGAAGCTGAGTTGAGTTAAATAAAGTATCCTGCCTTGTCAAATATCGTATTAACTCGTGAATCAAAATTGTAACACAAAAGCTAAGTCTGAATTTGTAGGAACACACAATATAATGTCATGGTTGAGGTTTCTACCATATTTGTACATTTCCTTGCGCCGTTGATTTTGACTGACAAGTTAGATCATCAGGTGTATAATATACCGTATTAGTTTCCACTCTCTACATCTCGTGACGGACACGGAATTCCCATAAACGAACGGAAGTGATCATGTCTAAAACAGGACGGGTCTACAAAAAGGCAGCGTTTGTCGCAGCTTGCATTCTGCGTGCAGTTGTACAGTAGCTGCAGTGACCAGTGTGATCGCATATAATGGAGTTTAGATCCGCTCTTTGGTTGCTCGTGCTGATTGGGTTCTGCTCTCACGGTATGTGAAATCTTCATTCGAAACGCCACAACTCTAAACTTGATTTTAAAGTACACAGATCGTCTAAGGCAAACAGATTCGAAGGTATCAATGAAAAGTTAGGATTTCACATTTTAGAAGTGCATATTATATACCAACAATTAATTTCAAAATAGACAATTTCGGCAATTATGGCAGTGACAATTATGCAGATTATGCGTGTTCTTTTACACGTACTCCAGGCATATGTTTAATTTTCTTCTCTGTACTGTATAAAGCAGCATTTTTAAATGCCCTCCTTGCCTCGAGAGGGTTTCTGTGGTCTGTAGGGTCGACTAGATATCAAAAACTGTGGTGAATCAATTATCCCAAATATTTTGGGAGTGTATGATTATTTGCGCTTATAGTTGTAAATTCCGTGATGAGGTCTTTTGGACTCCTTTCCTTTGCGTGGGTGGAG